GGGGAATATAAATTGATACTGCTGGCACATACATATTCGATTCTAGTTACGCGCGCGCTTAACAGACTGGCTGTGAGCCTCCAGGGCATCTTCATTTTTAGGTCCAACTTGCGGCGCGATTTTAACCTGATATTGACTAGCCCACCTGCAAACAATACTGGCAAAGTTGCTCTGGAATATGTGAAAATATCTGCTTAAGGCTTCGTGCCCTCACCTGCCCTCCTCAGCTATACGTTCAGGACACCATCAGGGAGACCACTTCTGGGCAATATATATATATATATCGTTTCAGTTCGTTCACCTACATCTCCACATCATTGTCAATGCATCGCCTCCATTGCTATTTGGTTGGCTTTCCAAGTACCCCACATGGCTGCTACTTGTGTGGAAGCCCAGATGTCGGATGTTCGAGCGAAACGGAAGTTCAACAACTAACTAGAACGCCTTCTTGGAGCCTGGAATGTATGTTTCACAAATGAGATAACTAATCCCTGGCATGTCCGCTCTGATCTGACGGCATTCGGATGTCGATCATTGATAAGGATTAGGGACCTGGAGTATAGTGGGTCAGATCAGACTCCCCACTTGTGTTGAATGTTAGCATAAGATGAATATTGTCAGTGTCGAACATGAACGATTTCGGATAGAAATACAATTATTGTCTCGTAGCAGGGATTCCTTTCCTCAGCCACATGCAGGTACGTGAGTCGTAGAACCACAGAGCGACAGAAACGGTATAGATCTGCCCCTGGGATCACGTGTGGAGGCGTCATCAAGTGACATCTCTTTCTCCTCACAACCTTGATCTCCGCCTCTGAATCCCCAACTCCACACCCTTTTGAACTAGAAAGCACTCTTTTGGTGCTACTTGACTGCACATAAGATATCCACCACCTGCGCCCATTTTTCCGAACTACAACTGTCATAGGCATGAAGTTCTTATCAGCCGCCAGCCTCCTGGTTCTTACCGCTCCTCTTGCAAATGCAGCCGCATTATCTATCTTCGATCCCACGCAGGCTTCGCTGAAGGCGAACGACAATGAGAAGTACCCAGTCAAGGGTGAAAACCCCCTGCAGTACTGTGCCAAGCCAGACAATTACAAACTCCAGATCGAGTCGGTGGATCTGGCACCCAACCCGCCTCTACCGTAAGTCGTCCACGAAGAGTATTATCTAAATGTAGTAGATTTCGATAGCTAACATCTCGGTGATAACAGAGGACAGACGTTAACAATCTCCGCCAAAGGTACCTTGCTCGAGAGAATCGAGAAGGGCGCTACCGTGAACCTGGAAGTGAAATGGGGTCTCATCACTTTGATCAAGCAGACAGTTGACCTCTGTGATGAGCTTAAAAATGTGGACCTGGAGTGCCCCCTAGAGAAGGGCGAGATGGTTCTGACGAAGGAAGTGGACTTGCCCAAGCAGATCCCACCGGTACGTTGTTTTTACAATCGTCTCAGAGCAAAGCAAACAGCTAACGTCCTTTTATAGGGCAAATACTCCGTTCTTGCTGATGTTTACAACAAGCAGCAGAACCAGGTCACTTGCCTCAAGGCGGATGACATCGTGTTTCACTTTTGATCCCGTCTATTTTAGACATTGCTTTGCATCCACTCACCAGGTGGCTTCTCTCGATTTGCTAAACTGTCAACGTCATTAGCTTATGTGCTTGACTCGGGGGCCAAACATCCGCAATGCTCTTTTACACGCCCTTCTTATGACTACTTCAATATTCGCATCTGTTGTTTCGAGTTCTATAACGCTTTGCAGTACTTTCGGATATCATTTGGACTTTCTCATTTCTACGCTCTTCGCATCTGTTATTCTTTTACAATCGTCTGTATAAACCACGAGTACGGCACTGTAAACCTGACAGCCTCATATGTCTGTGGCTATAATATACAATCACGTCATCTCCACTGACCACCCAACGTATGTTAAATGAATTTTGTAGAGCCGGGAAGAAAATATATGTAAAGGGTATACGAACTAGTTCCAGTTGCATTGGGTATCTTCCCTCCTGATATTTCCATGTTTCCTTCCCAGTTATACTCAAACGCTGAGATTCTCAGGTGATGTTTAAATCCTGCAGGTGGAACGGCGAAACCAACTCGCCATTTCCCAGCTAAATGACAAAGACAAAGATTCATGTAAAACAAGTCTACTCCCCAAACAGACGACGCACGCGCTTAAGAACGCTGTCTTTCTCCGGGTCATAGGGGTGGTCTTTGCTGGGGATTTCGAGGACAGCCGGAAAGGGATCGGCGAATGCGTCGACGCTATGGCGGATGCGTTCTGCGATCTGAGGTTGCGGCACCCGTTAGCGAACATGGTAAATATCTAGCGCAAGATACGAGGAAGCAACTAACATGCTGGTTAATCAAGAGCACAGCGATGTCTTTCCTCTCCTGGGTGAAGTTCTGGAACGCGCGTTCGATTTCCGAAGTCTCGGTTTTGGAATCAACGACAAGGAAGTTTCTCTGGGAGTCTGGTGGTTCGGTGACATGCTGTAAAAGGAGCCAGTAAGTTAGGGTGGCTTTTCATATAAATGTCATGGAGATGTGACGTAGATGGGGTAGTGAACAGTTCATACCCCGACACCTGCGAGCAAAAGACCAGTAACGGAGCTGCGTTATAGGTTGGGCTAGGTCAGCTGGGCACAAGCTTTTCGAGGACGAGCAATTTGGAAGAAGGGTCTTTACTCTTCATCACCAATGACAGCCAGGAATTGCCGCTCCTGGGGTACCGAGTTAGCGATCGGAGGGGTCATTCCATTGAATCGATGTCAAGTACCTTGGATGTTGCGGCCGATGCCGCCATGATGAGGGAAAAGAAAAGAAAGACCCGAGATTCCCGAGACACACAACCTTCCAACTGGAAGTTCGAGATAGATCAAGTAAATGACAGATCTGGTCCAGCTGTCCGTTGATCACCGTGGTTATCGCCGGGAGCTGGGTATTACATAAGCTGATGCAATTTCTCAGATTTGTTTACTGCAGGGCTTCAATGTCCGCAAAACAATCGTGACCTTTGACTCAACCGCCCCTCACCTTTGATGCTCTTGCATCATCTTCTTGATTAAGACGAAGCTGCTGAGGAACAGCTTCCGTCTACTACGACTCCCATCCTCCGACATCATGCCTCGACTTGTACGCCGCCGCCCGCTCTCCGAGCGGATACTCTCACACCTCAATCCATACGACTTTCTGCTTTGGCTTTCTGAGGAATTTGAAGGCGGTGATTGGGATCAGTTGGAGAAAAACTGGGCTTTGCCTATTGGTATTGCGCTCAACGTGATATTCCTTATTGCGCGAGCAAATAGTCGGTCCGGTGGCAGCAAGGCTTTTGACGATGTGTTCGGCGACGACGATGGCACATCCCTGCTTGGGTGGCTTGTACGTTATTCTTTTCCTGTCTTTATATCTCTCATGTTGCCCGACTATTCGCGAGATTCATGGAGCTAATCGGCCGTGATTGTTCTTCTTAGGCCTCATTCATCGTCCATTTGATGGCCGTTGCCTCTACGGCCAATGCTATCTACACATTCCAGAAGACGAGGCACTATCGTCTGTTTGAGAACTCCATCGATAAAAACCCGGCGACGCCATCAGCACATCGTGTACGCGTTGATTCGAGCCCCATGATGCCGTCTCCCCTGCGATACATCGCCAAGGCGCTATCAACAGAATCGGCACACTCGAGAGCCCACCCAGATGCACAGCGGGATGTCTGGGAGCTCGCAATTTGGGATCCTTCGCCACTTTGTCTCCGACTCTTTTGCCTGTTTAGCCCAGGACACGTCTTGGTATACTGGCTGTTCCTCCCGACACAGCTTTCCGATCCTCGCCCCAGCGTGACGATTGTGACAACGATCGTCTTGACAGCTCTTCTGTCTGTGCAGATGTCCTTCATTTCTTCTTCTTACACACAGCAAGCCAAGGACCAGAAGGTTGTACACAAAGAGGTCTTCAAAGAATATGACACTAAATATGTACAACCTCGAACGCATCCCTTGATGAGAGATGTTGGCACGCAGTTCTCGGATCCGTATGGTGAACCGCCCAAGACCGAGGACGAGTGCAACAGGGTCGAGACTTACAGCCCAGCCCATATCATTAACCGTGGTTTCAAGACCAGTCCCAACCCTAATTACCTCAAGCACGTCGACCCAGAAGGTTTCACCCCGGTCCGTCAGCCGACTGCATCGACTCCGATCTCCTCTATATTCCAGGGCCCACCAACCAACACCCCGAGCATGTCCCGAGATGGCTCGCCGATGGCTCGAGGTACTAGTCGCACAACAATGCGGCAACCGCAGTTCCGATCAACTGCAACAACAACAGGTGATGGAGGAAGCCTCGGTATTTACAGCCACGCAAACTCTCCGCTGAGAAAGTCTGCAACAACTTCATTTGATCGCCGCTTACAAAACAATGGAGACTTTGTTTACAAGGAGCGTGGCACAACTCCCTTGATGCGGAGCTCCAGTCCGCTGAAAAGAAAGCAGTGTGCCGGGTGGAATGAACCCAGGTAGCCCAGCCACCATCAATAGATCAGATAACCTCAGCAACCGTCGAGAAGCAGGCCGGTTCTAAGACGAATGAATGACCGAATTCCATTTCCACAAGCATGAAACTTTGCCGACCCAGATGCGCAGTTTTCTCCAAGGCATGCGCGGTAATGACGCGATAGCAGCACCCTTCGTACATATATCCCATCCTTAATTGAGGCTATGCCTGATACAACTTTACATTTTACGTCTGTTTCATGGTATTCACACATGTTCGCCACGCTGGGGAATGCAAGCTGCTCATCTAGGGCAACCTACTGTCGTTAGGGTCATTGCCTTTAATTTTTTTTTTTCCATTTTTGGTTTCCGATCGCTCGATATTGATCTTTGATTTGATTGACTTGGTCATCGTATTCAATTCAATTGGCAGATTGCTTGCCTCGGAGTTACCAACTTACTACGTCCACGTTGTGATCACTACCCCTTTATCATGCACGACACACAAAAAGCTCTGGCAGCCACCTGGGCAGCCTGTGACGATCCTGAACTCAGCGATCGGCGTACTCACAGCCTCCATCACGAGATCCTCGAGCACACCAACATACCTAAGACAAATCCCGCCGATCGCGTCACATCAGTCGACCCTGACCACTACAACCGCAGCGAACAACCCCCTCAGTACATCCAAACCATCCACGCTTCGACATCCGAGCCTTGAACAACTCGATAGGATGGGAGGGCGAAATGGAGCGCATTGTCGCTGAGGAACAGGCGACCACAGGAAGGCAACGCATAATTTCCCTCCAAGATATGCCGCCGCCAGGATCGCCCACCAACATATCCTCCAACGACAACGATGAGCCATAGCGCGGCCAACTAGCTGCCCGGGACAAAGGCAAGACCGCATGCGTCCAACCCAGGACAACATCGACACCACCCATAGCCACCGACAAGGACAAAACCGCCGGGGACGATCCCATAAACGACGCGGCATGCCTGTCGAGCGGGAAGCGCAAGACTACAAAGCGCAAGCCACAGGGTGCCAGCCAAACCCGAAAGCCAGTGCGGACAGCGAGCGTGACAGAGCCTGCGGCCCACTAGCTGCGCTACGTCTGACATATGAAAAAGAACGGCACACAACTAGACTACGCACATGTTAACAATCGACTTACGCCAACGAGGATGACGCTAAATCCGTTAAGCTAGGCGCACCACCCACCCACCTCGCCAGCAGCCCAAGGGGCTCCCCCCAACAACTCAAAAGCAACCCGATACCTAACAACAACACTACTCCATACTGTGCAAAGGTTTTCCCCCACCCCAATCAATGCGGCCCCACAGCCACTCCGCCACACCATATATCTGCCGAGCGCGTGAGTGAGGCCAAAGGCGTGAGAACTGTCGCCCTGCTGGAGAGATGGACCAGATGGATGAGCTCCGGGCACAAGCCCAAGTCTCACTACCACGGCCACGTGGAGACTGGCCCGTCCACATCTAGTTAGCTAGCCAATAGGATAAGAACAGCACTTTACCATCAACAGGTTTCCACCTTTGGATGTACCAACCGGGGTAGAGTAGGACAGGTACATGTGGTTGTATGTAAAGAGACTACAGCAGAGGCGGGAAATCTTTCAGCATCATCTCATTACGTTTGTCAGGAAAGGGGAAATTTGAGACCGTACCTTCCTCTGGCCAGATTGGCCTGGAGGTTAAAAATTGCCTCTCTGTTAGGTTTGACGTAGAGACGAGAATCGAAAGGGGGCCACGTTGACAACTGTGCTTTTTCGCGTTAGCCAGCTACCTCCGAAGGGAGGTTGCTGTCGCTTATTGTCGATATGCGGAGTGTTATGGGTTAAGAGCAGAGTGCAAAGGTATGCTCCTTATACACTCCTTTACCAGATTGACCCTTATTTTTCTTTTCAACTTCTAAAGTTACAAGCCACTTGCTATATTATAGATTCCATGTAGGTATCTACATCTCCACTGATATAGAAGTTAATGTAGAAATTGATAGAAATTAGATATTAACATAGGGAAGTTCCCCTTTTTTTCAAGGACCCTTTTCTACTATCTCTCAACCAAGACGTATATACTATTATTATAATTGAGATATACCAAGGTAGGGATTACAAGAAGTGGAAAATACCATATGGTGGTTGGAGAGAGGTTGCCTACATGTACTCCGTACGAGTAGACCATTGCCCTCTACCACAATGTTCAACGCCACCCTCAGATATCTGGATCGCACTTTCTTCTTCAAATCCAGCTATTCAGCTTCTACAGGTGATGCAATTCATTCTTGGAATGCGGGACTCACGAGGAAACTGCCATTCCAAATGGGTCATTTCAGCATTTCCCCCAGGGGTTAGCATTCCTCATGGGCATTCCGACACATTATTCTTACGCGTTATGAGCGCGATCACCTATGAAGATCTCTCAGTCTTTTTGGATCGCCCCGCTCCTTTGAGTCTATCTATCGTATCCTTCGACAGCCGCCGACATAGACCTTTGCTCAGGAAAACCAGCACAGGGACAGACTACCCTCTTCCCACTCTTCACTTCTCGCTCATACACGGCATGGGCTAGGACAACTACTCATTGTGCTGTGCCCATAGCATTTGCAACCTCAACTACAATCGCTGCAGTCTCAGCCCAACATGGACGAAGCTCCTGTCAAACTTCCCGATGGACACCTCGTGAATCTCTCACCACGACCTATACGCCAAAGTGCCTACAAAGCGTACCGAGCCGAATACAAGTCTTCGACGGAGGCCTCAGCAACACCCCCACCTCGATACCGGCAAGAAGGAAGATCACCGGAATATGCTGTATCAGGAGGCGCATCGGGGAATATCTCCCAACTGCCCAAAGCTACCAAGCTGCCGGTCCCGAGGAGTCTCGCGGAAAGTCGTAAGGATGATTCAAATCAAACAACTAGTCCCACTGCCCTTCCTAAGCTGTCCTCAGCCGGCCACTCCTCGGGACGGCTCGGTGACCAGCCTGGACCGTTGGACAAAGGTCACGATCAATACTGGAGGAAAATCCGGGATAAATTGCAGGAGTCGCCATTATCAACAAGACGTGTCAAGAGCAAGGAAAGCGACAATAACCAATCTCTTAACTCACGCATATCCTATCACCGCAGCAGACCTCCTGCCAGCACTAGCCAAGATCAGGCAAGCCCCCGGGCAGGTACCCCACGATCCGGCATCCCGAGTCCAAGCACTGTCAAGAGCAGTCCCTCGCAGGGGTCGAGGAACGATGCTTCCACTTGTCCCGTAGACAGCCAAAGCAAATGGCGGAAGAAAGACGACCAATGGGTACTCATGGATGTTACCGAAACCGCGTCCCTGAAATCATCAAGGACGGACGCGACGACTGATTCTAGCGCTCGATCTCATCCTTCCGTTTCGCCAGTGTCCGCCGAGAACAGTTCTATCACTGACTGGGAAGACCGATTCGTTGTGAATATGCCAACTGCAAAGGATCCCAATCCACCAATGATGACGGCTCAACAAATTGCCGAGTATCAGAGAAGCATTGAACGGGTACACCGGGACGGTGGGCAAATGACAGACCCGGACACAGTGCCTAGTCGTAACGTGTCTCCCGAGATCAGATTCAACCCTAGCGAACAAAAAGCACAGAGCCCAAGGGCTGTCAACACATACGATGGGGTGTACGAGGGACCTCAAGCGCCGACCTTGTCGCGAGATGAACATTGTCCTTCGCCGCAGCCTCAGCAAAATGCTCAGGCGGAGCAAGTTTCACAGCCTCAAACCCAGCAGCCCCAGCCCCAGTCCATGACTGCATCGCAACGTCAAATAGCCAACCGCTACTACAGCCCCGATGAAATCGGGTGTAATCGGATAAGCACAATTTGGGAGGAATCGCCCACAAAACCCAAGGAGAAGCGATGTCCCCAAAACGCCGACGGGTCTTTTTTAGGGTGCAGGGAAATATCCGGGGAGAAGAACCCAGACGAAATCCTCAGGTTCGCTTCCTCAGACGATGCCAGTCTCCATCCACCCCCATTGGCCCTAGGTTCCAAGAACAAGCAAAAGGTGTTGAAGGAAGTGAAGAAAGCCACAGACCGACAAACCACACACAGAGTCGAGGAGACTACAGTCCTTCGAGAAGAGCTACCACAAACTTCTCAGAATACGAGACCTGCCCAATGCTCGAAGCCGTCAGCCATGTGCCAGGATCAGAGTTGCTCCCAGAACCCAACCCCAATTCCGCGGACGAGGTCGCAGGACTCAAGCAAGGAGAATTACCATCCTACCAGCAATACACCCGAGCAGTCCAGAAGCCAGGAAGAAAACCTGGGGGAGGACGATGTGTTCATTATCACACCCACTATCACACGCACTATGATTCCCACGCCCGACAAGAAAGCATCTTTGCCAAAGCCGCAAGGGCTGCGTCGTCCTGGTGGCACAAATCACACAGTCACCGCCGAGGCCATCAAGGCCGTCCGGGCAAAGGCTCAGATGATTTCTACACCGTCAGGATTGCGGCTCGGGGAACCCACCGTGGATATCAAGCCAACAGGGCGTACCTTGACAACTTCTCAAACGCTGCCAGTCAGCAGCATCTCCACCACGGCCAAAGACGAATACGAGAAGGATCGGAACCAAGATCATGCGCAAGATCGCGGTCAAGAACGAGCAGCAGGTACAACGTCGAATACTATCCGTGGCTTCATCCGTACCTCCGGGCTCGCAAAACCCTCAGGGCTAGTCAGGTCACCCACGGATAGCCTTGCTACAATACTGCGCAACAGGACTGAGTCCCTTCGCACACGCGCCGAATCTCTACGGAATTCTTCGGGGTCTCCCCAGCGTTCAGACCAGAAGCAATCGCCAAGCCCTCCACCAATTCTTCCGTCTCAGGGACAATTCGGAATCATCACGATCAGAACGGTCATTTCAGTCAACGAAAGGGACCTCACCGGTCCCGGCAAACAGGCCTCCTTCGCCGCCAAAAGTTGCCACGCCGGAGAACAAACCAGAGGAAAATAAGCAGCCTTCCTCACGACCACCTACCCCAAGCAAACCAACGACGAAAAGAGTGACCTTGTCAGAGGGACCTCCTTCGTCAGCAAAACCTGATAAACCCCGTTTGTCAACTAAAAAGATTTCTGCACTAGCAAAGCCGTCAACATTGGAGAAAATCTGCAAGTCTACATCTACCACCCCAGCCACGCCTGAAAAGTCTTCTTCTCCCAAGGCAAAGACGCCCGATGCTTCACCAAAGAAGGCAGAGCAGGCGAGGGCCCTGCCTCGTCTCCATACTTCCGGTAAAGTCTTGGAAATCGCCGAACTCGATGGTCTTCAGGTTGCAAGCCCTAAGGAGTCTCTTCAATCCAACATCACAGACGTCTCTGCCGATCTAGGTGACATGCACTCTGAAGACAAGGATGATTCCGACGGACAGGGACTCAACCCTTTGGCTTTTTCGCTTCTTTTCAATATTCTTGTTGTTGCTGTCACCCAGGTGAATAAAGCGCTCCGAATGGGCACCGACAACCCTTATGTCAAATTTGTGGTCAACAACACCCTGAACATGACCTGCCACTGTTGGCATGTGTCCAAATGCATCTACACCACGGTTTCTCACTACCAGGCCACAGGCGCCTGGCCCAAGCCTTGCCGTGACCAGGCTATTACCCGGTTCGTGGTGGAGCTTCTTCAAGCCATTGTATATCTCTTGATTCTTGGGTTTGCAGCCATGCTGATGGCCCGTACTGTTGGCTATGTTGTTCTAGTGAGTAGCTGGATTGCATGGTTTGCCAGGCCGTTTGCGTGGGTGTTTCAATGTGTTGGCCGTGCCCTGATAATGTAAAATCAGCCAGACCTTTTGCTGTATGCTTGTACAAGATTGCTTCTCTAGAGGTCTCGAGCTTGGAAGTGGTCATTTTGTTGCTTTCGGGTCTTTGTCCTGGTCTCGAGCGGTTCTACCTACTCTCACCTAATTGTGTCTTTTGGCTGTATTCCTAGCTCATCGTTAAATAGCTCTCAACCTTGGATATTCTATATGAAACCATCTATCATTGTGTATGCCAATGTATGTAGTAGACAACAACTTGCATTGATATTCATCTTCTTGACCCGAAACCGAGACACAAAAGCTGAAGGCCCTGAACACCAGGGATGTGATCCAGCGTCGACTCTCCCATGTTGAAGAGGGAAATAAAATCATATCAGACTTTTGTTGTGTTCCCCGCAGAATTCGACTCGTGTATGATGCTCTCTCTCTTTTGCTGTCAAAAAATCAAAGACAAAAAAAAAACAGACCCAACTCCGTCATCCTGGTGTTGAATGGGCCTGTATGCTAGCCCGGAATGATCTTGCGAAAGCAATGCAAACGCAGAGAAAAGACACCGAATTTAAACATAGAAGGTCCGTTTCTCGAACATTTTCCATGCGCTGATGTGCGTTGAGCAATCCTTTTCCTCAGTTCATGCGAAGAAGGTATCCACGCAGCCAAGGTGCAATCTGCTGTTTTGTGAGACAAAAGCGGCATTCAAGAAAAGCAAGAACCGAAAGAAGAGATCAAAGAAAGCAGAAGGGAAAAGGCAAGGGGGAAAAGCATGGCTAGGCTACCGTCGGCCGTTATAGCCACCCTTGCCAGCTCTATGAATTGAGACCAAGCGCAAAAGAAACACAAAGATAAAAACGGAATGGGCCGTAAGGGCAAAATTATGTTGAATTTTTGTTCTTCTTTCATTTTTTTTTAATTCCTCCATTCTTCTGGACTGTACTAGGCCAAACAGAAAACATCAAATAGTCCAGAAGAGAAGCACCGGGCCCCAAGAAGAACAGATCCGAGAAAATAAAAGAGAATCCGATCGACGAAGCGCCATTGTTAAAAGAGACGGGGTATCGGTACATTATGTTGAAATGAAAACGCTGAGGAAGAAATCGTTGAGAGGTCTTCAGTCGTGACGCCATAAGACATTGCAGGGGGAGCCCGAGATGTGTTGGAGTAGTTGTTTGTATGGGCTGTGTTATCGTTGAGATGAGTGATGTTGAATTAGGTAAGATGTTGAGTTGTTATGAGATGTTTGCAAAGATGGCATACGACCGAGGGGGTCGAGGGGGTCGAGGGTGTGAATGAGTAGCAACCGGTTCTGAGTTGACCTCGGGAAGGGAACTGGTTTAGTTGGCAGCAACGCCGTTTGGTTCGGCGTGGCCGTTGGTCAATGGCTTTCCGGTCACCTCGACGTTGAGATCTTTGATCTCGAGGCCATTGAATAATTCGAAGACAGCGTTAGATCGGTGGAAGTCGTTGTCGACGATATTGACAAGATACCAGTCGTCCATCACATGCTGAATCAGCTGGCGACTAGGGCTCGCTGCGTCATGACACTTGGACCAGTGCTCGCCCAAGAGGTATGCCTCATCCTTCCAGGCCAAGAAACTGACTGTCTCGACGATTGTGGGCTGGATAATCTCTCGTCCGGCGAAGATACCCCAGGTCAGGGCATTCGGGCTGTCACGTGTGTTGGTCTTGAGCTCGCCCTTCTTGTTGGTGGCGTGGTAGGTCAAATCATCGTTCTTCTCAATGCGCGTGATGAGCTCATCGATCAAGTTGGAGGGGACCAGAAGCTCCAGGTAGGCCTTCTGGTAGACGAAACCGTTCTTCGGGCCCCATCCATACACTGGATGAGATGACTTGACTCCATTGACAGCGGGCTGAGAGTTGATTGTCAGGAATCCGCGCTGGTTCAGTTTGAGCAAGTCCTCCTGGATTTCGTGGGCTTCGGTCGTGATTGGTGAGTCACTCCACGGCAGTCGGTCAAGCTTGCCGGTCAAGAAATTAACAAAGATATCCGAGATATCCTTGATCGATTTTGGCTCGCCCCAAAGTTTGATGTTCTGCTCATTTGTGCCCTTCAGGCCCACACCGTAAGCGTCGAGTTCACCGAACGCAGGGAACGAGAATCGGTCCAGCGACCGTTAGGGGTACTCGTCCCAGGTCTGGGTACGAGCAACGTATGATGAGTTCCGGTTGCGCCAGAATACTGGTCGCACATCCTCTGATCTTCGGCCAAGGCCAAGGGAGGGCCGCCAGGGCAGTGGGCGTTGAATGGGGGAATCTTCTGACGGGGTAAGTTCGAGCTCTTTGAGAACCAATTGAGTCGCCTGAGCCAGGTTCATAGTATAGCTAGGCAATTTGTTAGGAAATGTCGTTGAGAAGAGTAGTAGAGTAAACTTACAAGTGCAAGTGCTTGATACCAGCTGCGATCAGCTGTCTGCACATATTGGCAATCAGAGTCTTTCCGATATCTCGAACCGCGGAATCATCGTTCTTGACCGGCTCAAGGGCCTCCATCCACTCAGAAGGCACCTTAACCTTAGTCCAGTTGGACCGACGAATGAAAGAAGCGTATGTCTGAATGGGCATGATACCGGGGATGATGGGGACATTGATGCCCTTGGCTCGGCACTTTTTCACCCATTCGATGAAGTTATCAGCATCGTAAAACATCTGAGTGACCACAAAAGAGCTGCCCGCATCAACCTTCTCCTTCAAGTGGTCGATCAACTGGTCCACATCGGTGTTGTCATCGGCGCCCTCGGGATAGCCGCCCACGCCAATGTCGAAGTGGTTGCCATATTTTTCCCGAATGTATTTGACCAGATCTTTCGCATAGCAGAATCCATTTTCCGCGGCCTCCCATGCCTCCTTTTCTCGCGGTGGGTCTCCCCGAAGAGCCAGAATGTTGGTGCAGCCAGCTTTGTAGGCAGCTTGGAGCGCTTGGTCAACTTTCTCCACCGGCATATCTGTGCAAGTCAGGTGCATGCAGGTCTCCAAGCCATAGACCGATTGTGCCACGCTGACCATTTCGCAAGTCAGATCCGATAAGCGACCACCAGCACCCCAGGTGATATCGATGAATGAAGGACCCAACCCATGCATGCGGTCCATTCGGTCATAAAGATTCTGTACACCCTGGGCGGTTTTGGGAGGGAAGAACTCGAAGGAGATTCCAGTCTTTCCCTCCGCCTCATTTTTGGCAAGCTTCTCTCGGATATGCATCGTGTCGGGTTAATCTAGTCTTCGTAAGCATATCACATAGTCTTAAGAAGCCATCAATTCAAGGGTTTGTCTTTGTGCTCTTGAACACACATACCGACAGCTAGCAATAACTAATTAAATTGTTTGTGGAACTTGGGACACCTGTGCAGATGAGACAGAGTACTTCTGCTATCTGAGAGCCTGAGCACAATCCCAGTGTACTGTGACACCTAAATGTCCAGGACCTAGGAATGAAGGGGAATGGATAAAACAAAAAATTCGAAAAAGGAAAAAATTGAATAAAAGAAGGAATTGCGAGGCTCCAAAGGAGAGTGAAGGAGAGGAATTGAGGGATCCGGTGAGCGGAACATTTTGGGGGACAACATTTGGCGGGGAAGGCCGGCCATCGGAGCACGTGTTTTGTTTCTTTAAAGGGGAATTAAGGGGGGAGTTAGGGGGAAATTAAGAAAAGAAAGTGCATAGTATAGGAAATAATATATGTTTCTTTCATTTCCTGCTCTTTCTCGATTAGAAAATAACTGGCAATGGGACTTTTATAGCAGAAACCAGTTTTTCAGACCTGATAAGGCGCAATATGAAGCCCATACCGCCTGCCCCGCCATAGAAAAAGAAGTTCCGGCAAAATTTTCCCGACTCGAATTTCGTTGACCTTGACTCTTTGACTATTTGACTCTTTGACAATTGCTTCAATTCTCCCAGGAATTACTTAGCGTCCATCACAACTCTAAAATGTCGGCTGTTCCTCCCCCATCTGCCGATCAGGACTACAAGTCCACCCTCCTACCTCTCCTCATCTCCAACAATGTCCTCTCGTTCGGCACTTATGTCCTGAAGTCCGGCCGCGAATCGCCCTACTTCTTCACCTCTTCCCTCCTGCACACTGCACCTTTGCTGCGCGCCTCCTCTGCTGCATACGCCAGTGTCCTCTCCGCCGAGCCTTTCGTCACTACCAACGCCGACGGCACCGCTCAGCCCAACTTCGACATTATCTTCGGACCCGCATACAAGGGTATCCCCATTTGTGCATCTGTCACCAACGAGCTCGCTGTGCGGGATTCCCTATCTGGCAAGACTACATGGGACAATGTGAGCTATTCCTTCAACCGTAAGGAGGCCAAGGCACATGGCGAGGGTGGAAACATTGTCGGTGCCCCGCTGAAGGGCAAGCGGGTCATCATTGTGGACGATGTCATCACTGCTGGCACTGCACTCCGTGAGGCTGTTGGTATCATCGAGAAGGAAGGCGGTATCGTCGCCGGTGTCGTTGTCCTGCTGGATCGGGAGGAACGTGTCAGCGATACCGAGCCCAAGAGCGCCATTGGCGTTGCCCAGCGCGATCTTGGTGGCAAGATCCCCATCCGGTCAGTTATCGGTCTCCACGACCTGATTGAGAAGCTGGGTGATAGCATTGGCGCCGGCGAGATCCAGCGGCTGAAGGATTACCGTGAGCGCTACGGTGCCCAATAGACATCGGCTGGAATCCGCCAAATCAAAGGCATGATGTATGAGCAAGGACAACAGGATGGATACCAGGATATTTTGGAGTCTGAAAATATTATTACTTAAATATTACCCACATCCAAATAAGGAGACGGGCACATTTCTATATGGACTATTTAACATGTCGATACACAACCATATACTATAGACTAGCTAGCAAATGGCTTTCCCATTTGCCCATCTTGGAACCACATGATATAGCGGGCAAGCAAAGCTCGCACTTTTGATTTGGAATCGCCCGGGAAGGTTCCTGGCAGACGGGCCATACCGGTGCTCAACTCAGGAATCAGGGATGTTGAAGAGGAACTTAGCAATATACTCCAATCGGGAAACATGGAGCTGTGAATGCCAGCTCTGCGGTCTCTGCTTTGCTAATTATGTAGAGCATATTGATAATCTGGTGTGTTGGTGCAAATGTTTTTACTATCTGAATATTTCTACCTATGTTGTATTCCAGCACACCCCTGAACTGACTAGTTCCCCTCGGACGTCGGAACCCCTGAGAGCAAGACAATACAATGTTCCACATAAGCTTAAAGAAATAGATAGTCTGAATTGAAGTATCTCGGCAAGCCAATAATGGTAATTAATATTACGCGGCAAGCGACACACAGCACGGCAGATGCTACTGGGCAGTGTATTGATGTAGATAGATGTATATACCAGATACAGCGCTCGGGCAATATGTATCTACCGAGTTCATCACTTGATCAGTTACATGGTGGGACATACTTTGACACCGTACACACTGATTCCAAAAAGAAGTAACTGCAGTGGATAAGACGTTGGTTTTATGCGGCTACAGCCTAAGAGGGTATGGAGATGAACCACTGAATACATATATATATGTATGCAATTTGGGCTTGCACTTTGGCTTTTCCAATGAGAACAGTAGACTAGATTGAATTTGAATCCTCTCGCACTAGTCATTATCTATGCAACCTTCCAGGGTTGCCCCCAGATTCTAAATGAGACATCTAATCGGTGCTGTGTATGCATCTAACATATGGCCACTTCCGGCGATATCCCAATGGTTGCCTGCGTTTCACAAGGAGTAACAGCGCGGGACCGGGGGAAGAACCGAGACTATTCAGGTATTTTCAACTCAGTAGAGATCTAAAAACATAATTGCTCGACTATCTCCAAATCCGTAGGTATTTCCAACTAGCATGACTCAGTTTCTATTCGAGTGGCAGAAGGCCTCCAAAATCTAGCAACACCAATACCTCAACTAACCAGCAAGTAAATGGTAAAGAGCCTGATTGTTCGGCAATCAACTTGCCTCTGAAACAAACTCATAAGTTTAATGGATTTAAGAACCCAAGAGACTAATCAGAACGTTATTAGGTTCTAACTGTTCGGTCTCTGACTCGAAGGTTTAGGGCTATTACATGCCGTGTCTTAGTGGTTAGGTCTTCGGGTATTTTTATATTATATTCTGCTTAATGTCTATAGAAAGGTACGTTGAGTATAAGTGAAACAATCTTATTTAATAATATCTCCTTATGTTCCATTCTGTACCCCAGAGAATAGTACGCCGTGAGATTCGTTGACGCGGTCAGTGAATACACATAAACCCATGACGCTTTTCGGGACAGTGAATTGCAGGTGACATGGTGTTACCTCTGTGTTCTTGACTCTACTACACATAGGAACATTAAGTGTCTCTGATCTAGTGTCACATGTCGTCTTCCAATTAACCAGATCCCAATAGACCACTGAATCGTCTCAAAATTCTATTATCAAACCTTAGGGGCCTGGCTTACTACTTGGAATTTTGGCAGATTAGTAGATATATCAATAAGTACTATTAATATCTCCGTCAACCATATATGTTTATTCAACTGCCCTCTCACGGAAAGCTAGGATTACTCATAGATGGCCACCTAATTCTCGAACCAATAATCCCGGTGTCCACGATGAACGTCAGGTTACATTTGGCTAATGCAGAATATGTAGCCATATTTCCATATTCAGAAGGCTCACTACATGGGCAAGCAGTGTTTCGGGAGTTTGAACGGTCAAGATCTACGAGCAGTGACTTGAACACCCGTTAAAGTGAGTCAGCTATAGTACAAAACGCAGCGTACAGGGAGGCTCGGATCCTGTATACCTATGTACTCCATACCCTTATGCAGGCTGAATAACAACTTTGGACCTAAGCACCCGCCCTAATAGGAAATAAAGATATCTTGTTTTTGTATGCATTCAAACACCGAGCTAACCTGTTATTTCTCTGACGGACACCATTTTAGAGTTGGTGCGCGTTAGACGGCATTTCTGCTGCAACTGTTGCCTCTACCACACATCCAGGACCCTGGAGGAAATGTTCGAGACCGCGTCGATGGTTCAATATCAATGATATATGGTTTGGGCACGTACTCCGACCAAAGTACTTTGGTAGCAAAATTAGTCTAGTTTGTCTACCGTCGAAGTTTCAATTGGACCAATATAAGACTGGATGTATATTCGGCGCTGCTCAGGCTCCCCACTGCTCTAGACACCATCCATAAGGCAGTCTCACCGAGTTGTTTGTGATACCTGCAATGCATGGATTGCTCGATTAGCCTCGTCGAGCCACGGCCATTCCATGGCGGCCGTCCCATGCAGAGAACTATGGTTATTGCTTGAACCCCGAGCGATGGTGACGCCTCGTAAGACATAGATCTTCGCCGCCTGAGTCCCATGGTCTCTGTAAATAGCCCACGGTAATTAGGACGTCAATCAACGCGCGAACAGAGCTCCGTGTACTTGCATCCTTTTTGCCTCCTATCAGGTGCGTCTTCGACTCTAACCGTTCATTCCGGGATTCAACGAGAATTGTCGAAGTAGCTTATGCCTAGTCTTAGGAACCAAAAAGAACATCAGGAGACTTGGTTGGAAGAAGTAGAGAGTAAAGTATCATGCTCCCTTTGAACCACATCGAATGATCTTACCACAGCTGGTAGTGCTCTACTATCTCTCGAACATTTTCAGGTTTCTCTTATTTCTATTAACCATTCCGCAGCTCTCGATTTCCTTTCTTTCCCTCTTTCCTACTTAGGAGAGCTCCTATAGATTGGAGGTCTATTGGTCATATTCTACTCGGAGGAAAATGATTGAAGTCTCTCGTTGATAACAGTCCTTTTTCCTCGTCAACACCCTTTCACAACTGCGACTTTCCGGAAACGCAAACTGTTAGTTATCTCTGCCCTGTTGGTATCTTCTCCTTTCAGAATACCTGACCGAGAATATCTTGCCATTGGTACCAGTCGGGTACACGAGCGTCTTTCCCATATCCTTCTAGAGAAATTAACCAACCTGCTAACAGGGAATGGTGAAACATAGTAGCTGTTTCTCGGAAGTTCTAGTGGGATCAGTTTCCCCTTGCTCTTCGCCATAATCGACACATGCTACTATCCTAAGTTTCTCCGAAGCGGTTTACTACATTGTTTGTCGACCATGAATTGGAGATATACAATCCCAGTGCTTGCCTTTCTCGCAGCTCCAGGAATCAGTTG